TGAGTTTGTATTTTTCTGAAATTAAGTAAAGTATGTAGAGTCATTTTAGGATGATCATGGCACTCTAGTTAAAAAAATAAAATTTAATTAAAAAATAAAATTTGGACAAAAATCGATTCAAAAGTGGTGCATTAGGATGTAAAACGATCTGTAGAATCCGAAAAACAAAAAATATACAGGGTGTGCCATTTAAAAATCAAAAGTTGCTGTCATTTCCGGGGAAACCGGAAGTCGGGAAAACTTGTCATAGATGCATAAAAATGGTGTTTGGTTAGAATATCAACTCTACCAAGTTTTGTTGATATCGATAAATAAATAAAAAAAATGGCAGCCGGAAAGTGATCTGGTGGGCACCCGGTATATTATATTCTAGGGTTAGGTTTCCATATTTATCTAGTAATTCTGTGCTGCCGCATCCGCCGATTTTGTGGTCTATCTACCAAATTGAACCAGTTTTTTTCTAGTATGCATGTATTATAAAATTATATTTTCATTTAATTATAAAGAAATTAACCACCAGAAACAAAACAAAAACCAAAACAAAAAAAAACAAAAACAATCAAAAACTGTGGCCAAATGTCAGTTTCACGATCGGCCGCTTTACGAAACCTCGCGATCCTTAACGAAAACTTAAGCCGTAACGTAAGAAATGGAATTGAACCATTTCTTAATTCTTAAGCTGGATTCAGAGCTTCCGTAACGTAAGACTTAAAACTTAAGTGTAAGACTTAAGAAAAATACACACCATGTAAATCAATGGAACAATTCATAGTGCCACCGTAAGACTTAAGCTGTAAGCCGTAAGAATTAAGAAATGGTTGAATTCTGTGCTTCTTGGTGTTAGGCACGACCTCACCTCGTCAAAACTTAACCTGGAAGAACTGGAAAATCTGGTACCTGTTGTTGATATTGTAGGCTGTAAGCTATATTTAGATAACTCTACCCTGTTTATTTTTGGTATTTATATTCCACCCAACTCACCCTCCAACTCACACCAGACCCTATTTGATTTTTTCTCCACATATGAACCTATTCAAAATAACAAAGTCGCTTTTATCGGTGATTTCAATCCCAACACAAATGTTAAGGAAACTCATATAAATGATTTTTTAGCGCTGGGGGGCCTAACACAATTTAACACTTTCTCAAACATATCGGGTAACATATTGGATCTTGTTATTGCTAACTTTGAATGTGAGGTAACTAGAGAACATCTTCCCCTTGTCCCGGAGGATTCTGCACACCCCACCCTTAATGTTTCATTTGACATGCAGCTAAACCCAGATGCGGGTTTCAGTGACTTTCCAACCTCTAACACAAGTAGAAACTATAACTTTAATAAGGCCGATTTCAACCTGATGTACCATCTACTTACTGTCGCAAATTGGGACTCTTTAATCAATGAATCTAATGTTAACCAAGCCGTCAATCATTTCTATGATACTCTTTACACCATTTTTGACCAATGTGTCCCATTGTATAAAAAAAAATCAAGTAGGGTTGTGTACCCCAACTGGTACACCAAAGAAATAATAAACAATCTTAATGAGAAGACTAGGCTTCACAAAAAATATAAAAAAAGTGGCTCAAACTTGGACTATCAAGCATATTCAAACATGAGACGTATGACAAAAATAAAAATTGATGTCGCATACAAAGCATATATAAGGGACACTGAATCTTCAATCAAGGTGAATCCAAAGCACTTCTGGAAATACATTCGTCAAAAACGCAATAAAACACGTATCCCAAGTAAACTAATTTCTGGTCAATCCTCCCTAGATTGTCCACAGAGTATAGTTAATGGCTTTGCAGAGTTTTTTAAAAGTGTCTATGAAGCATCTTCAGATTTTAGCTTGGATAGCCTGAATGATGTTGGCAACTCTCAGAACATTAATGTCACCCATATTACTGAATCGGAAATCTTTGATTCCCTGAAAAAATTGAAAAACACACATACTTCTGGGCATGACAAAGTACCATCTTTCATACTGCGGGACTGTGCCCCATGTTTTACATCTCCACTGCACCACATATTTAATTTAACAATCAAGACACACACTTTCCCCGATCACTGGAAAAAAACTAAAATATGTCCAGTATTTAAGGGCGGGGATATTAACAATATCTCTAATTACAGACCAATCTCGATTTTGTCCAACTTTTCGAAGGCCTTTGAGGTCTGTGTATATGACAATCTCTTCCACCAAGTTAAAAACTTAATTACCACTATCCAGCATGGATTTTATAGCAAACGCTCAACTGTCACTAACCTAACTTCTTTCCTAACAAAGGCATATCAGGCTGTAAATGAAAGAAAACAACTTGATGTGATCTACACGGACTTCTCGAAGGCGTTCGATAAGTTGGACCATGGGCTTATTGCTCATAAAATGCTACAAATTGGGTTTCACAACAACCTTATTAATCTATTTATCTCCTATCTCAGTGGTAGGTCACAATTTGTCGAATACAATGGGTTCCAATCCTATGATTATAATGCCACCAGCGGAGCCCCTCAAGGAAGTAATCTCGCGCCTCTGATATTTGCCATATTTGTCAATGATATTGCCCAGAACGTCTCATCACACAGTTTATTATTCGCAGACGACCTCAAACTATTTAGAATAATTAACAACTTGGAGGATTGTAACGAGCTGCAGAAAGATATTGACGCACTTTCAGGTTGGTGTCAAAATAACAAATTATATCTAAACATCAATAAGTGTAAATCAATGACCATCTCAAATCTCAATCATGAGTTGAATTTTAATTACCAACTCCAATCTAGTTCTCTTTTGAAAGTTGACTCAATCCGGGATCTGGGGGTGGTGATCGACAAAAAGCTCACATTCAATGATCATATTGATCAAATTGTGAATTCATCATTGAAAACCCTGGGGTTTATTATTAGATCAACAAGAGAGTTTAAGAACATCGACAGTCTCATCACGTTGTACAACTCTTTGGTCAAGTCTAAATTGCAGTATGCTTCTCTGGTGTGGTTTCCTTACCATCAAGTACATGTGGACAGGCTTGAATATGTTCAACGGCGATTCCTAAAATATCTAAGTTTCAAAAAGGATGGAATTTACCCTCCAAGAGGATTTGACCACCAGTTGCTACTCAGCAAGTTCAACTTCCTCTCACTTCAACAGAGTACAATTTTAGCAAGTCAACTCTTTCTTTTTAAATTATGTAGCAACCTGGTGGACTCTCCAGATCTTCTAAACAGCCTTAATTTTTCTTTACCAGTAGTCAACACACGCTCTCACCGTAAATTCTATTTGGAAAATCGCCCCACATATCTTGCCAGAAATGAGCCAATCTATCGAGCCTGCTCATACTTCAATCACCTGCAGAACAGTATCGATGTAGACTTATTTGTAGGTTCAGTAAACTCCTTTAAAAAAAATATCCTGCCATTGGTTCGCAATCTGTGATAATGTATTTGCTGTGATAATTGTCCTGGCGGAAGTATGGGAGGTGACTTTCTATCTCTATTTTTATTTCCTATTTTAACTGAGTAAACAATGCTAGTTTTTCTTATTATTTTTATTTGTATTTTTGTTTTTATTTTTATTTATACTTATTTTTATCTATATTTTTATTTTTATTTTTATTTTTATTTTTATTTTTATTTTTATTTTTATTTTTATTTTTATTTTTATTTTTATTTTTATTTTTATTTTTATTTTTATTTTTATTTTTATTTTTATTTTTATTTTTATTTTTATTTTTTGTTATTAGTTATTTTTGTTTTTAGTTTCATAGTTGTTTTTATTTTTGTTTAAGGCTTCTTATTAGCTTTCTGGATCTTATGTGTGATATAATCTTAGCTTTTAAATTTTCATATTTTTGTTCGCTCTTAAGTGCACTAATTGTCTCATTATTGGGAGTATGTATTCCTGTTAGACAATAAAGAATTGAATTGAATTGAATTGAATTCCATTTCTTACGTTACGGCTTAAGTTTTCGTTAAGGATCGCGAGGTTTCGTGAAGCGGCCGATCATGAAACTGACATTTGGCCACAGTTTTTGATTGTTTTTGTTTTGGTTTTTGTTTTGTTTCTGGTGGTTAATTTCTTTATAATTACTTAAATGAAAATATAATTTTATAATACATGCATACTAGAAAAAAACTGGTTCAATTTGGTAGATAGACCACAAAATCGGCGGATGCGGCAGCACAGAATTACTATATAAAAATAATTTCTAACTTCTTAAGTTTTAAGTTAGCTCTGAATTGGTTGCTATTTTTTTCTTAAGTTTTACAGCTAAAGTCTTACGGCTTAAGTCTTAAGTCTTACGTTACGGAAGCTCTGAGCGGACCTTTAAGGCTTGCAGCTTAAGTCTTATGGTGGCACTATGAGTTTTCCCATTGATTTACATGGTGTTTATTTTTCTTAAGTCTTACGCTTAAGTTTTAAGTCTTACGTTACGGAAGCTCTGAATCCAGCTTCAGTGTTATAAGATATTTTAAAATTGATTTTCTATGTTTTCTGAACCTTGTTATTAAGTGCTTAATTGCAACAAAGGGAAAATCTATTCAGAACAAAGGCCAAAGTTTTTTTTTTATGAAAATCTAAAAATCTTCTCATTAGGTTAATAAATGTGACCAATTAATGAGCCATATAATTATAAATTTACCAAGAATACTAAGCAATGCTTACTTATAGCAATTATTGCAGATAGATACTTATAGTTTCCATAATGTATGTAAATGATTATTACTCAAAAAATAATAAAATAAGCACTTTTTTACATAATGTAATGATTATAAGTAGGTACCTACCAAATATTTGTACAAAAGCTCACGCCACCTCATGCTCATGGATACACTATTCTAAGGTCTCTCTCATGTTAGTGATTTGATTTGAGAGTAAAGAAATGAAAAAAAAAAAGTAGGTCGAATAAATAAAGCGTAATTCTTACCTATTTATTTATAACAAAAGGCAAAAAAGGACAACACTTAACACTATTTACAGAAAATGTCTCACCATAATCTCATCTCATAATCATTTTCCAAAAAAATACAAATAAAGCCCTTTATTCCATTCCATATGATGAATGAAATGAAGGTCGAAGGAATGAAAATTATGAATGAATTGAGTAGTGACAATTGACAGAAAAACAAAGACCTAATCCGTAGGGGTTTTCATTTGTATAGACCCCAGCGTCTTTATTCTCGTAACAGGGGAGCAGCGTTCTCCTCCTAAGAATGAAGGTTCTGTCCAAGGACCCGGACAGAAACGAAATATCGTTTCCGTTCCGGTTCCGGTCCACAGCATCATGACAAATATCGGTTCCGTTACGGTTCCGGATCTAAGAGAAACATTTCGATTCGGTTCAGACCAATAATTTCGGTTTTAACGGTTCATACCGGTATAGTTTTTTACAAATATCTAACACAAAAATTTATGTTTCTGTAATTTGTGGTTTATTTTTTATCGGATCTCTCTACTAAAGCCTAGTCTCCATAGACGCGAAATCGCGGAAAGCGAATTTTTTAAGTGTCATTTTTTGGTGGCTATTTCCGAGCAAATTATTCCCATGTCTCCATAAGCGCGAAATTCGCGTTTTATTTAACAGGTTAAGGTTATGTGTTGTTGTTTGTAATCAATTTGAATTTGATTTAAATGCTTTGAATTTCAAACACTAATCTTTGAAAACCATGAAAGTGATTACTAAAAAACAAAAAAAGATATGTGTCTTGGTGTTGTCTTAATTACATTTAAGGCCCTATTATAATCTTCCTCATCAACCAGCAAGCTGTAATTTATGTCTGTTTTCGGGTCTTCAATATTCAATTCTTTGGCAGTATCCATTCTTTATTAGGTATCTACAAGTACAAAACACATCAACGACTCACAGAGAACAGAGCACATACCGACAAAAACATAAACAAAACTAAACTGAAAGTAACACCACATAACCTCATTTTTTTTTGGCGAAATTTCGCGGAAAGTTTAAAAATAGTTAACTTTTTTGCGACGCCGCAAGAAGTTAAAAAATTCGCGAATTTTTCCCGCCATAAAAAAATCAAATGTTAAATGTCAAATTCCAACCAATCGGAAAATATCCGCAAAAAAAAATTCGCGATTTCGCGTCCATGGAGACTAGGCTTAAGGATTGCTTATCGGCCTCGTTTTTGGTAATCGCGGCTATATTGGTGTATCACCATCGTCGACGTCAATAACTAAGTCGTCCTCCATTTGCTCCAGCGGTCCTAGTTTAGAATTTAAATTTATGATGAAAAATATCATTTAATTTTGGCCGAGTTCGTCTTTGTCATCTTTTTCGTCGATTTGCTCCGAAATTTTAACAGGCCCGTGATTTGTAAAATGAAACTGTTTTAAGCCTAGTACTCGAAACTGCGAAATTCGTATTTTTTTGACAATAACCCTTTTCACGTGGCTCCGGTTTAACAAACCGTAACATACCGCTAAAATTCGAGTGGTAGGTATCCATCACGTCACTTTATCAGGGATGTGCGTCTACACGTAGACTTTCATTGTCTACTTTACGTGTAGATAATGTAGACAATGTAGACAACGTGTCAACAATGTAAAATAATATAAATGACGTTTAATTCTAACCTCACACTTTCCTTTTCTTAAATTATTTTTATTTTATTATTGGTTTTTCTGATATTTTATTATCAGTGAATGCTAATATCGAAGTGATAATGATAGTAGAATAACTTTCTATATTTTTTTTCCAATTTTTTAAAATAAGTTATTGTTTACGCCGCATGTAGATAATAGAGAGTTTTCGTTGTCTTTTAAAAGCGATTCCGATAGCCGCTATTTGACAAATTTGACATTTGAGCTAGCATTTATCGTTATCGTTACCGATAAGTGCCGGGAGCTTACGGACGGAAGACAAAACCATAGCGAAAACGGAAAGCATGCGTATTTCCTATGTTTTTGTTGTGGTTTGTTTTTGTTTTTAAATGTTTTTGGTTTTCGAAATAGATACTAAATTCCCTCAAAAGATCGAGAAATCGTTTCACGGATGAGGACAATATTATTTATTATATTATGTGCAATCGAGTGTTCCATCCTGAAAATCTCGCACTATTTTTTATAATTCTGGCCACATCATTTTTTAAGTACAAGCCCTGATGAAGCCCTAAACTTTTGGGCGAAACTTGGTAAAGACTTAACAGGCCTTCTATTTTTTGTCCTAACCTACGAATCACCCCTCTTCATTGGATACCAATAGGACACGAACTTCTCTTAAGCATTTATTATTTCATTAGAAGAAATATTTGCCAACAACCCCTCCTATATGACGATGCATCTAAATAGGCGTTTGTAGTAGCCAATTTTGTAAAGCCTACAGGGAAAATTAATGAATTTTGGGTACTAAGAAATTAAAACAAAGTATACAAAACGTATATTAACACAATGATAAACACAAACTATTAAAGAAAGGTTATGTTTGTCGAATTCGACTTAACGTTAACGTTAAGCGGATTGAACGAAAACTATTTTTACGATCTGTCAAATAGCGGCTTTGTTTTCGTATCCGTTATGGTTAACCGTTCGAATTTGCCAATACAACGAAAACTCTCTAATGTGTAGACAAATGCTCACGTAAACAATTCGAATTGTCTACGCGTAGACAATCAATTGTTTACGTTGACATTGTCTACAGGCACATCACTGCACTTTATAACCCGGTTAGAAAACGGTATGTCATTTCTCTAACCGTTTTGTAACCCGGTTAGTTAAACCGGAGTCACGTGAAAAGAACTTTTGGGTACATTCAGGCGGTCCCAGCGGCTTAGCTCAGCCTCCCAGCAGGAACTTTATTCTCGAAACCAAGGAACAGCGTTCTCACAAGAACAATTACTCTGTCATTGTCAGTGTTATGCCGGACGACAAAGACAGAACCTTCGATCCAATGAGAACGCTGCTCCCCTGTTTCGAGAATAAAGTGGCTGAACTAAGCTGCTGGCACCGCCTGAATATACCCCTTAGTTGTTTTCACGTGGCTCCGGTTTAACTAACCGGGTTACAAAACGGTTAGAGAAATGACATACCGTTTTCTAACCCGGTTACAAAGTGACGTGATGGATACCTACCACTCGAATTTGAGCGGCATGTTGCGGTTTGTTAAACCGGAGCCACGTGAAAAGGCTTATTGCTTCGACAATTTGACGTTTGATTCACGCATAAAACGACAAATTGTCGAAGCAATGTCAAAAAAATGCAAAATTCGCGGTTATGAGTACTAGGCTTTATCCAGTGACGTGCCTGTCAAAATTTCGGAGCATATCGACGAAAAAGATGATAAGAACTTAATGTAGTAAAACCAAGTATGCATAAAACAACAGCCCACGGAATCATAATTTGTGGTGCAAACAGCCCAAGGATAATACACACTGCTACTACAGAATAGCCTATCGACGGTGATCTGACAATACCTGCTATGTGCATAAACGTTAATTTTACAGGGGGAATAAAAAACCGTTCTTATTTAAATAAATTTACAACTGAATATCTAAATTTTAAACAGACGTATTAAATATTAATTGAAAGCAGATAGCAGATAGCAGGCTCTATCGTATTGTGCCTAACAAAAATACAAGGCTAACTGTAGAAAAATCTAATTTTTGAATAAAATGTCAGTTAGCAGGTATTGTCAGATCACCGTCGCTATCCTCATAAGGCCTAAGTGTAACCAATATGAAGCCGCCTACTACGTCAATTCACCAGTTGTGACGTAGGCAGCATGTCGTTTCTCGCTTTGACGTAGGCTGTTCGCACCACAATTTATGATTCCACGTGTGTTGCTTTATGCATACTTGGTTTTACGACAATAATTAACATTCTAAAACAACTCCTTTGTAGATCTCGTTTGCATCTTCCTCTTTGCCTATTACGTTAATCAAAATTAAATGATATTTTCCATCATAAATTTAAGTTCTAAACTAGGACCGCTGGCGCAAATAGCGGACGACATAGTTAATGACGTCGGCAATAGTGATACACCAATGTGGCCTAAGGTTGCCAACCGTCCTGTTTTAGGAAGGACGTCCTGGATTTCGAGCAATTTTAATAGATTTGTCCTTCGTCCTTCCGAGCCCTTTAGAAGGACGCATTTTGTCCTGGATTTTAGCCAGTTGCTCAAACAATATAGAATAAAAGATGTTTTTACTATATACGATAACATACGATAACATTGCACTGTTGCGCACTGTCATTTGCGAACGACGAAGTTAGGAAATTAAAGTTTAAAGCTTACTTTTCATGCATCCGTCATCCGTTTTTCTGTCAATCCGATAATCCGGAAGTATTCCTATTTGTCCAATCTTTTGGCGCCAAAATACTTGGCCAATAGGAATACTTCTGGATCATCGGATTGACGGAAAAACAGATGCATGAAAAGCGTAATTTTTTGGTATTTACAACAAGGTTTATTTCATTATTTTAGCCAGTAATATTTTTTTATTTTATTTTGTTTAAAATTAATAAAACGTTGTATGATTAGGTGTCCTTTTTTGTTACTCTGTATCCTTGTTTGTTTATAGCTTTGTCCTGGATTTCAAAAATTAATAGTTGGCAACCCTAAATGTTGCCGCGATTATCAAAAACGAGGCCGATAAGCAATCCTTGGTAGCGTGTATTATCCTTGCACCATATGTACTTGATTCCAAAAATCGAGGCCAATAAGCAATTCTGTAGTATAGTATGTAATATCCTTGCTCTAGCCTAACCGAGTTCAGAGCTGTTTCCTCGCGTCCACTTTTTTGAAACTGGTTCAAAACCTTAGAGCAGGTGAAAGTAAAGAGGAGTTAGTAACATGGAGTTGGAAAATGAAGCCGTTTTTTTTTTTCAGGTTTTTTGCACCAAAAAAATGGCGGTATAGGCAATTCAATGCATTACCTGTATTTTGGTGCCAAACACCTGCCCAAAACTTGGCTTCACTTTAGTTTTATAAGCAGAATGGCGCGTTTCCGCCATTTTGGGTAAATCAGAGTCTTTTCTCTACGATGGATTTTTTGTCAAATATGACAATCAAATCAGTGTCATTGGGTACAATCAGAGCCGCTTTCTAGTAAGCACATTGGCGCGCTCTGGCGCGCTCCAGAGCACCTCGGGGGCGCCACGCACTAGATTTGTACCGT